TGTTCATCCCTGTCTTGGATGGTGCATCTTCTGGCTTTTCTGCATTGATTAGCTGCCACCTTATTCCTGGTCCTTGTCCCAAATTGCTAGGGTTAGGATTCTGGGCCTGTAATTAGGCACAAGCTCCATTTCCCGTAGCGTCCTGTCAGTGTGTGGAGCTCCTCCTTATTTATGCCTCCCAGTTACTAACGGAGACATGGAGGGTGTTTATCTGCCTTCCAGACCTCCTGGACCCTGAAGGGGAAAGAACTCTGGGTTCTTCTCCTCAAGCTTTCATTGCAAACTTCTCCTTTTCCTACTTAAATTGTTTCCATATGGTACAACCAGTCTGGGAGATGATGTCACCTCTTGTCATCTTTCCTATGTCTTCCTTGAAGTGGGCAAGTCCCTCCTGGCTGTTACTGGTTCCTTGCCACCACCACCCCTTTGAATAGATCCCTAAGTCACATTCCAATTGTTTCATTTTTCAAATCACCAAAGTTGCTTCTCAGCCTTAGATCGTTAGCCAGCTCATTCCACTTAATGAAGATCTAATTATGAAAGGCAGCCACTCAGCTCCTCCATCTTGGGCCCCCTCCGCAGAGACGTGAAGGATGTCTCCTCTCTATCTGTCAGCTGTTGCGGTTGTCTCCCTAGAATGGCATGTGCTAAGGGCTTTGTGGTTTGTGTCTGAGCACTTAGGGGCTCCTTTACAGGGAGGGAAGAAGGGAGAGGGGGACTTCTGCTTCTACAAAGGAAAAGTCTGGGTCTTGGTCTCCTTGGCAAGGCTTGCCATTGGGATGGATCACAGGGGGGCAGGAATGGCAAGAATTTATGGGGCTGCTGCTCCCAGGGGGTGGCTCCCCATCCAGGGGGTTCCACAGTAGCAGAAAATCCATTATATTTTGGGAGCATTTGTTAGTGTCTCATTTCTTCCATCTGTATGAAAATAAACAGAAGCTGCAAGTAGCGCCTATCATTCCCGGAACAGGGTCTGGCTTCCATCTTCTGGAGATGGCTTAGGCAGGGAAACACACAGACGTCTCTGGAGTGTTTTTCTTGGGGTCTACTGGGGGAATGAACCTGGAGGCCAAATTATGGCCTGCTAACGAGCAACTAAGCTTCCAGAGACAGAGCCTTACCCCACTTCGCTGAATTGTGTGTGACCTCGAATTTGTTTTCATTTGTTCATTCACTCATTCATTTATTGCTTCGATTATTCAGGGAATAATTTTTCTGTGCCAGAAATGATGCTAGGCACTGGGGTTGCCTGGGCAGCAAGTCGCCGTGACTGTAGCCGGCCACCTGAAATCATCTCTCCACTTGCCAAGCAGCCACGTGACTGGGCTCTGGTACACTTTCACCATGCAAGTGTGGGTCCTTTCCTGCTCTCTCTGGAGGAGGGTGGGGGTGGGGGCGCAGGGAGGGGTGGCAGGGGCTTGTGCAAGTATCTACAATGCCCTGGGGGGACCTCCTGGGGTGGCCGGCCCCGGCACCCC